TTTATTGTTTATTTATTTTTGAGAGAGAGAGAGCCAGAATGTGAACCGGCGAGGGGCAGAGAGAGAGGGAGACACAGAATCCAAAGCAAGCTCCAGGCTCCGAGCTGTCAGCACAGAGCCCAACGCGGGGCTTGAACCCACAGACTGCGAGCCAAAGTTGGACGCTTAACCAACTGAACCATCCCAAGCCCCCTCAAGTCTCTTTCGGCTGATAGAACTTCTAACATTCACCAGAGTATTATCAGTGATGCATCTCAAGGCACTGCATGTTGGAATCCCAAAGAAATAAGATACTGATATTTATGCAAGGATAGAGGCAGAGCGTGGGGTGTAAGGACACAGGCCTTGGAGTCAGATAGATTAGGTTCAGACCTTGGCTCTGCCATGCATGTGTGATCTTGGGCATGTTACCAAACTTCCCTACACCTTCAGTTTCGTGTGTAATAGGAAGGCAATAATCACTTCTTTCCCTCAGGATGTGAGGCTCAATTGGAATGATATATGTAAAATGTTAGCCTGATGCCTGGCACATAATACAGACTCAAGAAATAGTTACAGATTTGTGCTAATTAAGATTCTTGGTCACTTCGAACTGTGTTCTAGGATTTATCATTCTCCCACAGACCCTTTCTCCCCTGGCCCAGAAATTTTTGAATCTTTTGCCATGAAATTTTACTTTCTCTTGCTTGTATTTTGTACTAATTTTGGATACATTGAGCATACATTGATGCACGAGTAACTCATGTCATTTTCTCCTCTTTTTGTTACACTGTAAGCAGTCTTTTAAAAATTTTTTTATTAAAAAATTTTTTTTCAATGTTTTATTTTATTTTATGAGAGACAGAGAACGAGTGGGGGAGGGGCAGAAGGAGAGGGAGACACAGAATCCGAAGCAGGTTCCAGGCCCTAAGCTATCAGCACAGAGCCCAGGTGGGGATCGAACCCATGAACATGAGATCGTGACCTGGGCTGAAGGCGGACGCTCAACCGACGGAGCCACCCAGGCGCCCCACGTTATAAGCAGTCTTTAAGAGCAAAGCTTATTTAGAGATCACTCTCCAAGATGGTAAGTTTGTAGTTGGGAAAGTTTAACTGAACCCAAGAGGCAGGAACCTGTGAGCCAAAAACCCTAATCTGTTCTCGTTTGGCCACAATTCGCAGCATGAATCAAGCCCCAGCTAAGTATAGAAGCCACCTCTAGAGCTGGAGAGTGATTTATAGTGTTTGCTTTATTGAATTCTTGAGTACTCTGCTATTGTTACTCTTCTGTTTTTCTAAGAAGATGCCTTTTTGGAAAGTAGAGAAATTTGACTTTGGACTTTTCAGTCCACGTAACCTTTCACAAATGTGTTATTGGTATCTTGAAACGCTTGGGAGCTCACCAATAACAAAACCTTGCTGGTGAGAATCAATATGTATTTTGAAATGTTTTCATCATTCTAATTCTCCTGGAACTTGGCTTCCTGAGTTCTAGCTGTAAAAGCTGTCAGAAGATTACAGTTACAAGTAAAGGGAGCGTTTCCTCCAACCACAGCATTTCCAGTGGACTCGGGCTGTAAAAAAACGAAAACCAAAAAGCAAACATGTAGTTAAGCAGGATGGTTTCCACAGAGACCCCTTTCTTCCAGCCTGGCTCTCCTTGACCCTCCTCCTCGTGTGCACACAGGGCGGACAGGAGGCCTCCTGACCTCGGATACCAACCGGAAGGTGCCACGTACTTAAACTGGTTTATCCCAGCTGTCTCCTCTCTCATCTGCCTTATTTCTTTCAGCCTGCTGATGCGCCAAAGTCTTTAGATCACTGCCAAGGTTTTGAAATGGCAATAATTGACAGTGAGGGAAGATTTAAAGAATGAAACAGCTGTGCGTCCTAGAAATATAACCTTGTGCTCTTGGAGGAGGACGTTCATATCTTTTTTATGGAAGACCTTTCTGATAAAACCGGGAGCACAGCACAGGCAGGCCGTGCGTGGGCTGCTGGGACATGCCTCTTCCCACCAGCTGCCGCCGTAGGGTAATGGAAGGCACAGCTCCCTACCGAGGATTCTCAGTGATGACTGTTTCTGAGAGCCATTCTTCTTTTTCCTTCGTCCTCTTCCTCCTCTTCTCTTTCCTCCTGCCCTTCCTCCCCCTCCCCCTCCCCCTTCTCTTCTCCTCCTCCTTCTCTTCCTTCTTTTTCTTCTTCTTCTTCTCCTTCTTCATTTTTAATCCCGGCAAGGAAAGTGTGTTTTGCTATGAACAGAATTACATTCGGCACACACACCGCAGTGTCTCAAATGATGCACGTAGGGTCTGTGCTCTGGACTGTCTCGTGGCAGTTAATGGCAGCGGTGGTAACAGCGCGGACAATGTAGGAATAACACAGAGGAGCTAGTCTTTATTGAACAGGTAACGTGTTCAGGGCACCGTGTCATTTTGTCCTCACAACAACCCTTGGGATCCCCATTTCACAGACAAAGAAACAGACTCAGACAGATTAATGTACTAATCCAAGGTCTCATAGCTAGAAAGCGGTGAAGTTGAACCCACGCCCGATTCTAGAGCTGACGTTCTTACCCAGTATGCTGTCCTACCTCTCTCTATTTAGACTTTTCACAGAATCACAGGATGCTGGTTCTGGAAAGGACTGCTTATCAAGGTGTCTCACCTTTTATTTCCTTTGAGTCTTGAGATCGTTTAGGGCTAGGAGCATGCATTAGGAAGTGATATGGATATCACTGTCTCTTATTAGTAGACAGGCTATGGGGTGGGAAGAAGAAGAGTGGAAACTCATTTCCCTAGGGGGAAAAGGAGGAGAGGTAACTCTTCTGACCAAGAATTCCAGTGCAGCGAGTGGACGTGAGGGACATAGCTTGCCCTCTCCCAGGGTTGGGGATCCCCTGCTGGATGCTGGCTTCCCTGGTAGGGAGCCCAGATCCAGGCAGGCCTCTTCATTCTAGAAAGGTGGAAACTGAGGGCCAGGGAGGCCGAGGCCCTTAGCAAGTTACTTCAGTAAAGGGAGTGGCCCATAAGTCTGTCCTTCATGGATGTAGGGTCTGTGCCTCTCTTGTCCTGTCTCCTATTCACAGTGACCACCGAACAATAGTAAGAGTGTACATTTATGTTTCATGAATGCATTCTTGTTATTTGAGGTGGCTTGTTCATGCTCTGGATTTCCTACCTTTGTGCCTGGTTTTTCTCTGGCCACACTGGTGCTGCTGTTGGAGGCATCTCATTTGGAGGTAAACAGAGCAGAAATAAAGACTTCCATCTTGTCTCCTGAAAATTCCACTCACTCTGCCCTGAGATCTTGCTGGCCGTTGTCGGGCAATCTCAACATCTGAACATCAACAATTGCTAACGGTGACCCTGGCAGCTAGGACTTGCCTTCTTGTCTCGCACACGTTCCTGGAAATTACAGTGAGGGAAGGGAAGAAGTTTCAGCATTTCAGGATTCAGTTCCAGAAGGGTGAAAGGCACATACAAATGGGACTCCCATAAAACAAAATTAAGCAAGTGCGACTTTCCTGGTCCCATAGGGACCACCTTTAAGAAGCTTGAGATGAAGGTTACCCTGAAAGGAGTAATAACTTGATCAGAAGCTTCAGGCCGAGACGGCCACCTTTATAGCTGAATGACTGTTGCTACCCCAAGGATCCCATGGAAGCATAAAATTTTATCTATCTTCTAGCTAAATCAACCTAAGTCAAACTGAAATATTAGTGTTTGGGTACCTCAAAACACCTTTAACTTGTCCTTTCGTTTTGGTTTGCCTTTTGACAGGATATAATCACAGATCCATTCAAACTTGCAGAAGAGTCTGACTGTACGAAGTCCAGATGTCCGCCTGATGTTGCTGGAAGTTGCTGTGGCACAAGTTACAGCTGACCAGAAGACGAGGGCAGGAGGCTAAGGAATGAGTTACATATGTCTTTTAATCTCCTCTTTTCCACAGCACAGACCACAAGAAAGAATAAATGGCAAAAAGCCACTATATTCTAGATCACTGGTAAAAAATAACGGATTATTTTTAGAAGGTATTAATTGAAGGTTCGTAGCAAATGGCCTACAGGCTGGTTAAAGAGTTTTTCTCTATCTTAGCTAATTCAAAGTTCTGGTGCCACTTAGTGGTCAGATATGGAACTGAGAAGCAGCCTGTAGTCCTGGCCAATGAGCAAGAAAGGCTTCAGAAATAACAGTTGGCAGAGGGTCTCAGGAAGAACATCTTCCTTCTGACCTGCATAGCACCTTTTGGACTTTTACCATGTTTGCTCATAAAACAAAGCTCCTACTGACATCATGCTAATCACGCCAAAAAATTTGCCAAGTCAAATTTGGTAGGAGTGCTCTTGAGATAATTGGTGTTTTAAATCAAACACTTTTTTTTTTTTTTTTTTTTTTGCGCAATGGAATGAAGAAAATAAATGAATAATAAATCTCTTTGACCTCAGTTCATCCTTAAGAATACAAGATAGTGGTGACTATTGGTAATAAATCCTAACCAGATCAGGGAAAGAGTGATAATTAAACAAAAAAAAGTTTATTTTTGAGAGAGAGAGAGAGCACAAGCAGGGGAGGGACAAAGAGAGAGAGGGAGACACAGAATCTGAAGCAGGCTTCAGGCTCTGAGCTGTCAGCACGGAGCCCGACTCAGGGCTCGAACCCACAAACCATGAGTTCGTGAGCTGAGCTGAAATCAGACACTCAACTGACTGAGCCACCCAGTCGCCCCAAGAGTGATAGTTTTTATTTATTTATTTAAAAAAAAATTTTTTAACGTTTATTTATTTTTGAGACAGAGAGAGACACAGCACGAACGGGGGAGGGGCAGAGAGAGAGGGAAACACAGAATCGGAAGCAGGCTGCAGGCTCTGAGCCATCAGCCCAGAGCCCGACGCAGGGCTCGAACTTGCAGACCGCGAGATCGTGACGTGAGCTGAAGTCGGAGGCTTAACCGACTGAGCCCCCCAGGCGCCCCAAGAGTGATAATTTTCAAAAAGGGAGGTAGGAGATGTAAAAATGGTTGCTTTTTTCCCCTTTATAACTGTGCCCTGGTTAAATTTTTAGGAAAGTATAAGATTTAGATCTAGTTTCCATAGTTAAAGAATGAGATTGAGGAGTATTTGAGGATGATTTTATCATTAGAAATGAAGAACATTATTTATTTGAAGTCCAGTTGCACTTGAAGACTTTGTCAGGGGACACAGAAAGGTGCAAGTCATATATAAGCCATGGTCCTTGTCATCAGGAACTGATCAGTTTTTTAATAACAGCCTTCAAGCAATGAAGAATTTTAATGAGAAAATTTCAACCAGTTTCTCTGACCTCAGTGCAAAAAAACCCCAAGGAGGTAGGGGGAGCTGGCATGATCCAAGAGGTTTTCTATTAAGGGTATGAGAATATTTAGGCCTCGTAAAACATTGGAATGGATTCTAGCATCCAGACCCCTCTTTCAATAGAGCTGTTAAAAATGGAGAAATTCTCAGATTTCTGAATGGGTTCGGCTGTAGGTCCTGAGATACTACTACAGACTAAGGAGAGGACTGGATGGTATCTTTTAAGCTCTATTCCTCTAGACCTTGATTCTAAACAGTGCTTTCGTGGTTCTAGAGTTCAGCATTTACCCGGTCACCATACCACCTGCTTTAGCGACCGCATTAGTGAGAATGGTATAGCTAGGATTAAGCATACTTCACCATCCATGAGCACGAGATGGTCCTACTAGAGGGGAAAAGGATGAAAAGAAAGGGTTTTCTGGTTATTTGGTTTATTAGGCTTCTCCAAATTTAGAGGGAGGAGGTTTTAGTCTATCATTTGTCATTCTGAATTCTCAGTTCTCTCAAAAGATGTTGAGGGAATGACTTTGAACTGGAATGTGGACATTCGCATTGTGTTTTCCTAAGAATAACATATTTTATACGTTACTCTCTAACAAAAATATACATCGTAAGAATTGTATTTGTCCTAGAGTCTAGAAAAAATATTTATTAGATAATGTCAAATTAAACACGTTTTGTTCGGAAAAATGCCAGACACGGTTGTTTAAATATTCAAGATAGGTGAAATAGACAACTAGGAATGTATGGCCCTCGTCATAGAGGATACATCTCATTTAAGAGTGAGAGGCAGTGTGGAATAATGATTAGGAGCAAAAGCCTGACGCTGAGGTGCCTGGGTGGCTCCGTTGGTTGAGCATTTGACTCTTGATCTCGGCTCAGGTCATGATCCCAGGGTTGTGGGATCAAGCCCCACGGCAGGCTCCATGTCAGTATGAAGCCTGCTTAAGTTTCTCTCTCTCTTTCTTTCCTCTCTTTTTCCCTTTACCCCCTTCCCTGCTCATACATACTCTTTCTCTCTCTCTAAAAAATAAAAAATAAATAAATAAAGAAGCCCTAAAAAAAAAAAAAAGGCTGGATGCCAAACTTGATAGTTTTTTTCCTTTCAACTCTGCCACTTGGCATTTTGGCCTTGAGAAAGTTATTTAACATCTCTGTGCCTTTGTTTCCTCATCTGCCTGAAGTTTTTTTAAAGATCGGGTGGCACGTAGTTTAGATTATTATTAGTTTGTTTATTTATTTTATTTATTTTAAGTAGGCTCCATGCCCAACGTGGGGCTTGAACTCATGACCCCAAGATCAAGAGTTGCATGCTCTGGGACACCTGGGTGGCTTAGTCGGAGGAGTGTTCAACTCTTGATCTCGGGATGGTGAGTTCGAGCCCCACGCTGGGTGTAGACATTACTTAAATTAAAAAAAAAAAAAAGAGTCACATGCTCTACTGACTGAGCCAGCCAGGCACCCCTAAATTATTACTGGTTTAGAGCTAGCAGCATGTGAAGTCAGGACCAGCAGAAGACCAGCCCTTCTTTTACTGCCAGAGGATGGTTTAGGAAGCTGTCTGTGGCTCTTTTGACAGCAGGCAACTTTCCCCCCAACATTGTATTATGACTGTTTTCAAATATAACAAAATGTTTAAATAATTGTAGTGACTACCTACCACCTAGGTAGTAATCACCTAGGTTACTTGTTAACCTTTGGCAATCATTTCATACATTTTAACATTATGCTTACTAACAGCAAGGCCACCGAAACAGGTGCCTAATTCTTCTGTAGCTACAAACACTTGTCAAAAGGTATTGGACTGGGGCACCTGGGTGGATCAGTCAGTTAAGCATCCAACTCTTAGTTTCAGCTTAGGTCATGATCTCACAGTTCGTGAGTCTGAGCCCCACATGGGGATTTTCACTGAGGGTGCGGGGCCTGCTTGGGATTCTCTCTCCCTGCTGTGTGTGCGTGTGCGCACACACTCTCTCTCAATATAAATAAGTAAAAACTTAAAATAAAAAGATATGGGACTAATGGGACACCTGGCTGGCTTAGTTGGTAGAGCATGCAACTCTTGATCTTGGGGTTGTGAGTTCAAGCCCCATGTTGGGTACAGAGCTTACATTAAAAAAAAAAAAAATAGTGGACTTCAAGGGTTTAAGGAGCAGATTTTCTCTTAATTGATTATTGTATCAAATACAGTATTTTCAGTCCTTCATCATCACAGGGAGAGGATTCATATTTAAGCCTCCAGAGGCTTTTCAGCTTACCTACTGGAGGAAACCCAGCAGTTTAAACAGGATCCCCGCCCCACCCACTCCCTCCAGCCATACACTGCTGAAAAGGGCATGTCTCTGTGCCAAGACAGCAAGCAGAGCCTGCTTCTCTTACTGATTCCCAGCCTTTCCTTTGATGACACCTAGGAAGCAGCAAAGGAGTGCCTAATTTTTCCTTATTAGATTGGGAGGTCTGCTAAATGAGTCTGGAGAGGAATGTGAACCTATCCATCCAGTCTTTCATTTATTCAATATTATTAAGTACCTACTGTGTACCAAGCACTGTCCTAAGCACAGATGGCTAACAATCCAATGTGATGAACTCAATGAGCCAGCCGGACAAAACCAGCTAAGCATATTTTCTAAACTTCGCTGCCACCTGTCCTAACTTGTGTGATTTGCCAAGTTTCTTCAACTGCACACACACAGCACGGTTTGGGTCTAAACAAGGGTTCTTTTGAAGACCCTGCCCAAAGAGTCAGTGGAGGAAGATCTCACTAGATAACAAAAACAAACTCTTTTGCAAATATGGAGCTGGAATTACACAGCCCTACTCATAACCTATGGCTTGAGCTTTACTGCCTCATTCCAGTCTCTCTTCAACTGCTGACCCTGTCATTCCTGCAAGCACAGCTCCCTGAGGTTAATGGGAGTGTTATGTGAATGTAAGTTCTGTACTTAATCTTCTCCTGCCGAGCGAGCCTTGCTTGTCTTGGACTGATGACCGCGCCAATCCCCTCCCCCAATGGGAACATGCTGGCCCCTCCTTTCCTGGAGCAGAGCCATGCCCCAGGTGAGGGGAAAATCAACTTGGGACGCAAATGTTCTGCCCTGATGCTACTCCGTTAATGCTTCAGATAATGGCACACTGCCTCACACACGCTGTCCAGAAGCCAGAGAGAGTAAAATAGTAGAACGGTAAATCGATACCGTGCCGGGCGCACTGTAAGCCAAACTTGGGCCTGCTAACTTTTACCCAGGCTTCGGCCATTAACTTTCTTCTCATTTGTGGAATGAGAAGTGAGGCAGGAGACAGGGAGTGGGCATTCTTTCTCCATCTGGCTCTGCACTGGCCCATAGGAAAATCACGTGTCCACTCTGGGGGTCACGTTCCCCGTCTGTAAACTAAGGGGGTGCTGAACTTGGTACACTCCACGTTCCCTTCCAGGCTTGGAAACCGATGTATGGATCTAGATTCCGGAGAGGTCACAGTGCTTTTAAAATCGTTTGAATTAGTTGCCCCCGCTTATGAACCAGAGGATTTTACATAAAGTACGAATTTCTGGCT